CTTCCCACACCACACGCCAGGCGGCCTGCCCCCCCCAACCCCCCCCACCCCCCCCCCGCCGCAGGCGCTCGCTCGACGAGTTCGAGGCCTTTGTCGCTCGCCGCGCCTCGACCCGCGGACCGCACCGCCGCGCCGCCGACGCCTTCCTCGCGCGCTACGAGGGCGAGGGCGCGAAGGACGACCAGCGGCGCGCGGCTGTGGCGGCGGCGCGGAGCAGGCTGGACGGGCTGCTCGAGGCGGCGCGCAAGGCGGCGCCGTTGCCGCCGGACGCCGCGCTCGCCGCCGCCGCGCGGGTGCTCGGGCCGCCAGCGGCGGCGGGGGACGCGGCCGCGCGCGTGGAGACAGCTTCCGCTGGCGTGGAGCCGGCGGCCACGGACGCCGACGAGGCCGACGGTGACGGCGGCGGCGGCGACATCAGCGACGCGGGAAGCAGCAAAGCGCCGGAGGGCTGAGCCGGGCGTGTGTGCTCAGCGCGCGTCGGCGGTTTGCGTGCGGCGCAGGCCCTTATGAGTTATGTTGTTGCGGGTTGGCAGTAGTTTCGCAGAGTCGCGTTCCGCCGCCGCCGCGGCAGATAGACCGCGCGATTGACGCCGCCGCGCGAGTTCCGGTGGCCTAGCTGGACTGGAGCAACATTCAAATCTCACTGAGATGAATATTTTGCGTGCACATAGAGTCCCCATCGCATGTGTGACGTGTGAGGATATTTGAGCGACATGACGAGCGCGCGTCACCTTTTTTAGAGCCATACGACTTTCCTTTCCACCCCTCTCGGTGCTCTCGCGCGCCAAGCAATACTTGCAAGTTTTGTTGTTCTTTCTCTCACAAAGAGCGGTGTCACCTCATGAGAGAGGATGGACACCTCTGAGAAGTTTTTGCTTGTGTTTGTTAAAGAGAAGACCACACAGCAGCGACTGACATACAACCCCGCCGCACGGCAATCACACAGAACCACACAGAGCCTCACGAGTCTCGAGTCGTGCACACAGCTCAGTACAGTCTACAGAGGACAGGAGATATAGGTGATATAGCTCTCAGCGTGCACACCCGAGCTCGCACACTCTAGATACACTAGAGAGAGAGAGAGAGAGAGAGACCGCTCACAAGACAGACCCGCCACTATGAGGAGAAACGCTGCACGTTCACGTTGTTCGGGTGAGCAATATACAGAATAGCGCGAGTGCATGCTGTGCTACTGCTGCTAATGATGGTGCGATTCCATAACCTACTCATCAAGCGAGCAGCCCAGTGACGCCTCGATGGCGGCGTCCGGATGCTGCTGCTGTTGAAACACGTCATAGACGCCGAGGACAGAGCCAGTGCAGCCGATGGCGACCAACGCGATGGCGACGACCACATCCAAGGCGTTCTTGCGCAGCGTCGCCCCCCAGCCGCCGTTGGCTGACGCCCCCGGCGACTCGGCGCGCCCCATGCTCTCCAGCCCCGCGGCGACGGAGCGGTCGAGCGTGACCGCAACCGACGCGTTCGGGTTGAGCTTGAGGAAGAAGAGGCCGGGCAGAATAAAGCCCAGGAGGGAGAAGCCCACCGCGCCCGAGAGAGAGATCATCGCGTCCACCGCGGGGATGAGCACGCAGGCGATCGCGATCAGCGCCACCACCACGCCACGGAGAACAGGCCAAGCGGCCGAGTAGTCGCCGCGCCCGAGAATGGCCGGCTCAATGACACCCCACACGGGGTTCATCTGCAGCGCGAAGGTGCAGCCGAGCACCACGGCAAGCACGATTTGCGCGTTCGCCTTGGCCGGGCCCTCCGGGAATGACTTGAGGATGGTTCCCTCGACGCTGCTTCCGAAGGCGAGGTAGCCGAGGGCGCCGACGCAGACATAGATGACGACGCCGCACGAGTAGGCGCCGCCGACCACCCAGCGGAAGGCGCGGTCGGTGTACCGGCGCACGACGGTCGAGGAGGTGCCCGGCGGCGCATCCTCAGCCATCGACTCGCCAATGGATGCGTAGATGCTCATAGCGGTGCCCATGCCCTCAAACGCAAAGACGGCCGGGCCGAACCAGGCGCCGAAGCCGCTCCAGGTGGCCATCGCGATTGGCTCGGCGGCGCCAGGGTGGCAGATCGGAGAGATGCCAGCGATGTCGCCGTTCTTTGCGGCGCACTGCAGCTGGTCAGCCGTGAGCGATGCATTTGCAGCGGAGCAGTCCAGAGCCTCGGAAGAGTACGCGACGAGGAGCGCGATGATGTAGATGTAGGTGATCAGCCCGACGAGGGAGAGGATGGCGACCGAGCTGAGCTTGCGGATCATCGACACCAGGGTGAGGAGAACCCACGTCACAGCGAGCGCGTGCAGGTGGCTCAGGGCGGCGTGCTGCATGATGGTCTCAACGATAAAGTCATAGTAAGCCGCGCTGAGGCCGAGCTGGGCGATGAGCAAGCTGCTGATGATGCTCACGACGCCGAGCCGGCCATACGCCGCCCGTCCAATACGTTCCCACACGCCAACCTCGTCGCCTCCGGAACCGCGCTCGCACACCTTGGCGTTGCAGCGCACCGCGAAAATGATGGCGGCAGACGTGCCATATCCCGCCAACGCTATGCCGACCACGGACGCGAGGAGTCCAAATTTAGAGGTCGCGTGTGGCAGGGTGAGGACGCCTGCCCCTACCATTGTCTTCAGCAGGTTGGCAAAGGCGCGGAACGTGCTACCCGTCCACACCGTCAGCGGAGCGCTCGGCAGCGGCTCCTTTGTTTTAGCGGCACTCTTGGAGTCTCGTGTCGTCGTGATAGCGGTGAGGGGCTCGGGCTCGGGCTCGGTCAGGGCGACCACCTCCATCACGACGGGCTCGGGAAAAGGCGACATGGCAAAGAGGACTTGGAGATGGACAAGGGCGTGTATCACGTCCTTGGAAACAGCTTGGATATACCCCCTCCCGGCCCCAACAGGCGATACTTGGCTATCGCACTGTTGACGTACCGGCGGCTAAGGCCGAGTAGCCGGTGTTCACAGAGCTCTGTGAACACCGGCGAGAGAATTTTTCTCTCGACGATTTCTGCGAAGACACGTTCAAAACACTCGGTCGGTGTCGAAACACCTCTCCGACGCGCTCGACTATAATCTCCTTGGAAACAGCTCCACCCCCTCCCGGGCTTTGAAAGGGTGTTCCCGACGGCGCGGCGTTAGTGGCGTCGGATGCGCTTCACCTTCCAGATTCCGTAGCTTGTTATTGATTACGCTCTGATCTGCTTCTCTTTCGTGTCGGCCTGCTCCTTCCTTTTCCTTTTCCATGTGAGCTGAGGGGCGGCCGGCGGACCGCAGCCGCAGGCAGATTTTATATACGCGTGGGAGAAGTCTGTTCGTTGTTACCCGAAGTCGGTGCCCGGTGCCGAGCGCAGGCGGTGCCCACAGGTTGCTGACAGGTATTTTCCATGTATGCAATGGTTCGTTTACTAACTTTTATAACGACAAACGGACGAGAGCACTTGGAGAAAGCCCGCTTTTTTTTCCGGTCGCGCCGAGTTCATGCATCTCAACCCACATCCGATCATATCGCGCCCTCCGCGACCCCGCGTGCGGCGTGGGAACTCAGTCAGCGCTCAGCCCTCAGCGGACAGCGCATGCTCGAGGCGCTTTGAAAATGGAAGATGTCTGAGATCTAACACTACCGAGCGCGAGAGGCCGAGAGCGCTCAAGGAGGCGCTGCACGCGCCGTGGCCTGAGCCACGGCGCCACGGCCCACGCGCCGCGCCGTGAATACTCGTTCGCGAGAGCCACAGTGTACAGCGCCCAGTGTGAGCCCCGAGCGGGTACGACGCGTGTCCTAGCCCCACCCATCTCCGCCACACTCGCCCACGCCGCCCCAGCCTCCTCCGCCACGACACCTCACTCTCCCAGCTCCCACTCCGCCCTAGGTGTATTTGCGCCGGCGGCTCAGACCTTCTTGGCCATGGAGGGCATCATGTCGTCGCGCTTCTCGCGCACAAAGGAGAAGGCGGAGAGCAGCCCGCTCTTCTGCTTGACGCCGCCGCCCTCCGAGTAGACCTCGTCCGCCAGGCCGGCCTGGCGGGGCGCCGGCGGCGGGGGGGAGCGGCTCAGAGTGCGACCGCAGTCACGCGGGACATGCCGCACCGCAGCGCGACGGGCGAGGGGAGGATCGCGGGCGGGCTCGGGGACGGGTACGGAGGCGAGCGGCCGAGAGGGTGGCTGGGCGGGGCGAGGCTCTAGTCTCCGCGCCTGCGTGTTTGGCAGCCGCGCCTCGTTGACCGAGAGGGAGATGAAGAAGCCAAACCTGCGCGGGCGCGCGGGCGGTGGGCGGTGCAATGCGGCATGGTTGGTGTGGTATGGTGCGGGTGGCGCTTGGTGTGCGGTGTGCTGCGCACGGGACAAGCCAGACGTTGAACAGGAAGAAGCAGAGGACGTGAGCTAGCTGGTGGTAGTGGGCGAGGAAGTGGGTGCCCCAGAGGTAGTGCGAGACGCCTGCGCACGGGCGAGTCCGCGAGGGCCAGGCCCGCTCAGTCGCGGTCGGCCGAGGGGCTACGGCGGAGCAGGTGCGGCGGAGCAGGTGGTGCGGTGGAGCAGGTGCGGCGGAGCAGGTGCGGCGGAGCAGGTGCGGCGGAGCAGGTGCGGAGCAGGTGCGGAGCAGGTGCGGCGGAGTAGGTGCGGAGGAGTAGGTGCGGCGGAGAGGTGCGGCGGAGCAGGTGCGGCGTAGCGGGCACCGAAGAGGCTGAGCGAGGTGAGGAAGGCTGGAGAGGCGATCCGGAGGAGCGGGTAGCTCTGGTGGAGCCAGAGGTAGGCGATGTGGTTGGCGAAGCCGGCAGCGAGCGCGACGTACGGCAGGTGCGGCTCGAGCGCGAGCAGCAAGATGTGGACTATCAAGACAGCGGCGATGGCACACGAGAGGAGGCGGCGCGTCAGGGCGTTGTACTCCTCCGCAAGCTCGGCGAGGTAGTAGAGGCCGCAGGCTGCGTGCGGAGAGCCGGGTAAAGGCGCTTGCCGCCCGATCCGCCACTACCAGCGGCGCTGTGCAAGGCAAGACTAGAGGCAGGCACTGAGCGGTGGCAGCGGACTGTACGGGATGCGCGCACCGAGACAGATCGCCACAAAGATGAGAAAGAGATAGCCGCTGACGTAGACGAGGCCAGTGAAGACGAGACCCATGGCAAATTCGACGGCAGCGAAGTGTGCGAGGCAAGCAAGTGTGCGAGGCAAGCTGGCGTGGCGCCGCGCCACCTCACAACAGTCAAAAAAACCAGCTATTTTTCTTTTTGAAAACTAAGAAATCCGCCTACAGGCAGTGAGGAGTTTCAGCGAGTATGCTCACCAATATGGAGCCGAGCCTACCTTCGAGGCGTGGTGCTACGTCATGGCCCGCCCTGGGTTCAAATACGAGGCGGCGTTCATGATCTCGGCGCTGGTGGACAACCGAGCGGTCGTCGTCTACCCGACGGGCAAGGGGGGGTTGAGGCTCCCATCGTCTACACGGCGGACCCGACCTCCTGCCGAGGAGCCCGCCAGCCGCCAGCCGCCACCTCGCCCTCGACCGGGACTCGGAGCATGAGAGAGAGAGATTTTTAGATTTGTCGGAGCTTGTGTTGTTTGTTTTTGTTTGCATGTGGTGACGCTGCTGCAGCAGAACGGCACCTGGGCCGACGAGCCAGCCCTGGCGCCGCGCCACCTCACAACAGTCAACAAGAAAAAAATCGTCTGCGTTTTATTTTTGACGTCCTCGCAGGAACCGGTCGAAGTTTTCTTTTTTATAATGCGTCTTCTCCTTTCGCCTGCGGAAACGACCAGGGACCCCATTAGAGAGAGATTTTTGAAGACCAACAAGAAATCACGACTCTCACAGTGATTTGGGCTCGGCAGCTTGTTCGCCCTCAGCCGAAGCTGGGGCTCGGCAGCTTACTTCGGCGTCGCGTGCGACATTTTTTGCTGGTCGCGCGCCACCCCTTCTGCGCAGCAACACCTGAGCAACACCTTAATTCATGGCCCTCCAAATTCGGGTCGGAGCGTAGGCCGTAGCGGAGTGGGCCCCGAGTTTGAAAAGGGCGACGGACGCTTGCGTCCTAGCCTCCAACAACGCCTCCCCGGCGCAGAGGGCCGCCCGGAGGGACGCTCAACCGCCCCAACCGCCCCACGCCACGTCGCTTGCGGCGGTCCTATTCCACGCTCGCGGGCGCGCTTTTTTTTTCTTTCCCCCTCACTGCCAAATATTTTTTTTTGCTGGTGCAGCGCGAGCGGCGCGGCGTGCGCACGAGCGGCCACCATCGGGTGTGGGTATATGCTCATCCTGCTCACGCACATGAGCGTGCTGCCAAAGCCGCTGCCGGCGAGCGGGCTCACCAAGGGAAGTACAGTTATCCCGACGATCGCAAGGCGAGACGGCGGCAACGTCGAGCAGATGCTTCGGAAGCGGGAGGAGATGCTGTCGGCAGGCCTCTACCCGGGAGTCGACTATCTGATTGAGGACGTGTCGACACAGGGTGGTGGCGTCGTGGTGAGCGTGCGCCCGGCCTACGACCTGGTCAAGAAGCTGGAGCGCAGCGACTGGCCTGTGTCGGTGCCGTTCAGCCTCGCTCCCCGCTGGTACACGCCGCGAGCGTACAACACGCTAGTCGCCTCCTTCGCGGCACTCATCGCGGTCGGATGGCTGGCGGTCGGCGCGCTCCTCGCCTCCGCCCTCACGCTCTCGGTCGTGCCGAGCGACTCGATGCTGCCGGCGGTGCAGCGTCGCGACGTGCTTCTCGTCGACAAGGTGTCGCCGCGCCTCGGCTGGCGGCCCGAGTCCGGCGAGCTCGTCCTCTTCCGCCCGCCCGACGCGCTGCGGGAGATTGTCCGCCGCCAGTCCGCCGCTGCCGGCGGCGGCGAGGGGCGGGGAGAGGCCCTCTTCCTCAAGCGAATCGCGGCGCGCGGCGGCGACGCGGCCTCGCCGCCCGAGGTGGAGGTCTTCCCCGACGGCGCGGCGACCATAGACGGGCGGCGCATCCGGAGCGCGGTGGCGGCAGACAGCCCCGTCGCGCGCTTCGTCGCGCCCACGCGCTTCTCCCTTGCTGACGACGCTTACGTCGTCCTCGGAGACAACGAGGCGGTGAGTGTCGACTCGCGCTGCTGGGGCCCGCTGCGGCAGCGGGAGGTGGCCGGGAGGCCGCTGCTCAGGGTGCTGCCGCCCGGCCGGTTCGGCGTCGTGAAGTGAGGGCCGGACGCGGCTTGGCCTACGTGCG